AACATCATTGTTGGATTCCTGTTCCAGTTTATGCCACCCAACATGCTCAAGAAATTTAGCACTAGCGCTGCAGTAAATATTAGCTGTGCCTTGATCCCAAAATCTAAACGATCTATGGTTGGCCTCGTAACCTACGAAAAATAACTTGTGAGGGAATATGCACCCATGCTGGAGCTCCAAATGTGTGTAGATAACTTAAATTTGGCTTTCTGCCATGCCAACGAGTGAATGGCAATTCTCCAGTTGTTGTGTTCACTACATTGTTCAATACATGGTTACTACACATTATGGCCTCACCCAACTGTGTTTCAGGCAAACCTGAATCAGATAACATAGTGTGAGCCATAGCTTGTAACATTTGCCCTCTTCGTTCTACAAACAAGTTATGTTGTGGTCTGTAAGGTGCAGAACGTTTATGCTTGACACCAGCCAATTTTAACATAGTTTGGAATCTATTGTTAATAAATTCAGTCCCATTATCAGTAACTAAAGTAATTACTTTACCCTCATTTTTCTCTCAGCAAACCTTAGCCAATTAAAGAAATGTTGGAATGTTTCTGTTTTGTTTTTCATGAGATAGCAGAAACTGTATCATGAGTGATGGTCCATTATACTCAAAACATAGCAGACACCTCCCAAACTGGGTTTCTTAGGACCAATTATATCAGCAAACACAACCTCTAAAAGTTCTTTGGTCTTAAACCCATTCAGTCTGTTAGCTGGAGTAACCTTGCTTTTCACCTGGTTACAGGCATTGCAGTTTAAGTACTTGCTACAGGGTTTTAATTTTACTCCCTCTGACAATTTAATAGTTTGTTGCAGCATTTTGAAATTAATGTGCCCCAGACTTCTATGCAGTAAATGTATACATTCATCATGTGGCTTAACATTGTTATAAACCGAGTTAGCCATCTGCAACAGGTCATCATGTATCACATATAAATCATTCTTTAAAGTAGCAGTAACACTTTTACCCTCTTTCTCAATTATACAGGTATCTCCCCTAAAGGTTACTACATAACCAATATTAACTAAAGCCCTTACTGATAACAAAGTAAATTTCAGTTTAGGTACATACAATATAGTTAAATGCTCATTTACACATAAACAATATGCAGTACCTTCACCAAATGCTTTCATCTTCCATCCATTCACCAATGATACATGTTGCTTACTCGTGGACATCTTTACAAACCTCTCTCTATTTCTAGTAATGCACTGCAATGCTCCACTATCAACTACCCACAAATCATGGTTTACAGTTGAATTGGTAGACATAGCTAAATTAACATTCTTTTTAGCCTTCTGGTGATTACTAGTATTCTGTCGTTTTCCCTTCTTACAGAATCTAGCTATATGTCCCCTACCCCCACAAGAAAAACATTTCCTAAAAGTATAGGCAGTTGAACACAAATCCTCTTCTTGTGGTTGTTTCTTCCTCAGTTGGTCCCTATCCAGCTGTCTTCTTGCCTCTTCCAACAACCTTCCGGTTATGTCAGTCAATGTCAGTTTATCTCCAGGCAGGACTTCCAGTGAAGATACATAATCATCATAACTTTCATCCAATGTGGAAAGAATGATGTAAACCTGATGCAGCTGTGAAAATATCAGTTCCTTTTCATGTAGCTCTTGAAAAGTTCTTTTCATGAAGTTCAAATGAGCTAACATATCTCCACCTTTCAGAAAACGTGCTCTAAACAGTTTACGTGTAAGATGTATGTTTGCACCTACACTGTCACGAACATAAATCCTCTTCAAATTCTCCCAACACCTAGCAGCAGACTCTTCTCCATGAGTATGGACTAGCTGCTGGTCATTCAGTGTTAGTCCAATTATACAAAGAGCTTGTTCGTTGTTCCATTTAAAGTCAGCTAACTTCTTGGCATCGTCCTCATTATCTGGATCCCAAGCATTTACATCCAGTGGATCTTGAACTGTATTCCATAACCATTCTCTATGCAGAAGTAGACTGCACTTCATAGACCAGGAAACATAGTTTGTTCCATCCAACTGGGTTATCAGTGATAGACTTGTTGATGGGTCTTGTGCCATCTTTACCAGGATAGTAACCCACAATTAAACAGTAAACAGCTGTCTGTATATGGTACTGTGTATTCACACTAACTCTCAGTTATCTGAGCCTGGTATGGCCTTGGCCCATAACCAGTGTTGAGGTAATTCCCCATTAGGAGAATGAGTGCACACAGGGAGACGTAGTGAGAGTGATGTTGAATAACACACGACCAGCACACAGATACACTGAATAGTAAAATGTAGGTTTTACTTCCGGTAAACGGTTAAGCAAAGTCCAACAAACAGTCTAAGTCATTCACGGTTAAAGCAGTCAGTGTTCAGTCCAGGGATAATCCAAATAACAAAGTCCAATATCATAAACAGTTCAGTAACAGACTTACAGCAATCCAAGAGGAACGACGATCAGCAACAATCAATAGGGAAAAATGCAAACCAACCAACATGGAACATCAGAACATCTAGCAACAACAGAACAGAACAACCCAGGTTTCTGGCTCCATCTTATGGCCGTTTGAGGAACCACACCCAATTACAATTACATCATTCCCTTAAAGAGACAGTATTAAATGTCTATTCTGGTTTATATATTTCCAATCCAACTGTTAGATGACTATCAATTCCTAACAGCCACCAAACCAAACAGTGATGCAGTGTGTTAAAATGCTCTCAATTGTGCCTCTGTAAGAAGTGGCCAGGACAGAAAGGGAAAGATTTTCTCTCCTCATCCGACACAGGAAATGCAGACACTGGTTTGCACGCTTCACTAAGGATGTGTGGAAAGACCACTTCAGAGTGTTACAGTGGTGGGCTGCTGAATGGTCACACAGGTGTCAGAGCTCATTCAAAGCAAAAGTCTCTAGCTGCATCTTAGAAAAAGTAAATTGGTTTATTAGAAACTGCCATGTTGGCATGTGGCTGGGTGCAGCCAATGCTAAATCATATAATACATTTCCCCCTTGACCCTGGCCTTCCCCCCACCCCCTGGATGTGACTTCTCCAATAGGACACATCCGTCTCCAAGAGTCATGCATCATGCTCTCCAATAACCTTTTTATGCTCTGACAACTTTGGGCTGCCAAGGTGATTATCTAGGTTTTTCAAGAATGCCTTGTTTTCCCCCACTCCCTTTTTCTGGCAGCTAAAAAGACCAAAGGAATATCTTTAGTTGATTTTTAGTTGACAACGGGTTTGGGTGAACCCACAGTTGTGATCACTGGTTGGACCCGCCCAATCACCCCTGCACTATACTTTCTATATTTAACTTGTTTAACTATATTTGGCTTGTTCCCTCACCTACCCTGTGCCACTCCTGCTGTACTCACCAGAGCCATCTGAGTTGATTAGATGCATATTTGAAGCTCTAATTCAGTCCCAAAGGGGCTGAACACAAAGGCACTCACAACTAATGAACTGGTTGGTAACGTAAGTGCAGCCCACCTCTGGATTGTTAGTTGTCTGCACCCCCAGATACCTGATATTGTTGACCACCACTATAGCTGCATCCTTGATACTGAGTGGTGTATGACCATGACAGCTCTGTACATGGCCCTCTCACATGGTACTTACACTGTTTTTCTTTTTGCAAAATTCCACTTGAGAATTTGCATCTTTAAAAACATGTATGAATCTAGAGATGTGATTTGTTCCACACAAATATAGAAGTGCAGATTAGCTATATTTCCTTTTAATGTAAGAACCATGCTGGAAATTGCATCTTTATCCTTGTCAACTCTTCAGATGTGTACAAATGAGCACATTTACAGAAGGAGTCTTTACTCAGAGGCACTCTACTCCTTGAGTATACTTTGGGTATACTCTCTTCCAGAATGTTCCTCCATTATGAGAGCTCTCCCCCCACCTCTTTTTTTTTAAAATAGTCTGGCCATTTTATTGTTGTAACCAATGAGCCTCTTCATTGTGTTGGGTTAAAACAATGGAATAAAAATAGACATTTTGAGTAACCTTCTAAGATAGCCACTAGATCTAGGACTGCCTGACACTAGCTCTTCTTTCTTCTTCTTTTTCTTCAGCGTTTGTCTCGCGCTCTGGCGAGGTCCGCTAATGTCCTTGAGTATTGCTTCCACGCCTCTCTGTCTGCCACGTATGTCGGGTCTGCCTTCGCGATCTCTAGATCGGCCTTGATCGTGTCCATCCAGCGTTGCTTAGGTCTACCACGCGGTCTCGCTCCTCCGACAATCACCTTCATCGCAGATTTGATGATGGATTCTTCCTTGGCGCGACTCACATGGCCGAACCATCGTAGCCGGGACTGCCTCATGACCGTGGGGATGGGCACGACGTTGAACCGTCTGCGCACTTCTTCATTCCTGACGCGATCGAGTAGGGTGAGGCCTACCGATCATCATAGCTCATCAGGGCTTATGTGAATACAGCTAAAGCATGCTACTTGTACTACACATTTTCCTTCTGATGGTTGGTTTTGCATCCCTTCCAAATAAAGAATCTAGAGCTACATCAGGCTGCTGTGTTGTTTCAGAAGAGCCATTCGTGTTTTAAAGAAAAAGAATAAAATTTGGTGGCTATCACAAACAGGACCTTGATGCGTTCAGAAAGAATGAATCAAGAACTATTTAATAAGAGCAGAAATTTTTGCCAGCTTAATACAGGATGAATCTGATCATCCCCCCCTTGGGAAAAGCAAAATTAATTAAAATGAAATGAAGCTACACAAAAAACAGAGATACAATGCAAATTTTTATTCATTCTTTTAAAAACATTTGATATAGGAACTATTGTTGGCTTGTACAAAATTTAGCATATTCAGAATGTTGGTTTCATCCTGACTGAAAGGTAAAGAGACAAAGTAAAAGCAGAGCAAATATCTAGATAGATTACAATGGTAGCAATGGTGTACAGATCACGAAATGTCTTCAGGAAATGAGCCACGAGATAAGATTTTTCCCATGGAAGAGCAGCCATCTTGAGGGAGACACTATCTGATGCACTCAGATCAATTTGAAATACTGGTAGTTTTTGCCTTCCTCATAGTGCACAGGCAACCCATTCTTACAAACAATGACAATATATCTGGGTGAAGCATCTTCCCTGTAATAACAAGGGGGTTTGTCCGAAAATCTTTTTGCTTTACAGGTGGTAACCTGGAACTGGGCCTTGCTACGCCGCAATCTGCCTCTGAAAGGTACTCCTTGGTTCCCGCATACGTCGATGATTTTTTTCTTCATATCATGGATGAAAGTGTTCATCATCTTGCATTTGGGACTACTCAACCCACGCTTTTGCATGATTTTATTACAGTAACTATCTGCATCTTTGCTTTTGGGGTTATCGTAGTGCTGCCTCAGGAATCTTTTATAATCCGCAGTGTAGATGTCCAAAATCAAGGTCACAGCCATGATTATGAAGAGTCCAATGCCAAATCCCTTGAACAGCAAGATCAGCTCTGCCACACAAGAAAGAAATAAGATGCGTAAATATCTCAATTTGACAACAACCATTAAAATACCTAGCCCTGAAATGGACCTTTCTATTTTTTGCCAATATGGAAAGTATTTGATATCTAGAAGACATCTCAGATGGACAAGTAGTCCTTGGCATTTGAAATATATTTCAAATGCAGTCAGAGGTGGCATTCAGCAGGTTCTGACCAGTTCTGGAGAACTGGTAACGGAAATTTTGAGTAGTTCAGAAAACTGGTAAATACCACCTCTGACTGGAGATTTCACAGTATCCTTCCCCTGCCACACCCACCAAGCCACGGCCACAGAACTGGTAGTAAAAAATTTTTAATCCCACCACTGAATCCCACCAGAGTGGGGTATAGTTCAGAGATATATGTTTAGGGAAATAGACATTTAAATCCCTGCAAGTACTCCGGGGGAATGTTAAGCAGGGAGGGCATTTGCTTCAAAATCTTATGCAGGGAATTTCTAAGAAAGGCTACTTCTAAGGAAACAAGCCACTGACATGTAAATGTCTATGGAGATTTTCAGTCACCCAGGTCATAGTTGTCCCAAACCAGAGGTGGTATTCAGCAGGTTCTGACCAGTTCTGGAAAACCGGTAGCGGAAATTTTGAGTAGTTCAGAGACTGGCAAATATCACCTCTGACTGGAGATTTTACAGTGTCCTTCCCCTGCCACGCCCACCAAGCCACGCCCACAGAACCAGTAGTAAAAAAAATTAAATCCCACCACTGTCCCAAAGGGGTCTCAAGAGGCCACTGGATTTTCTGGTTTTTATTTGAATACATTTTGCTTCTCATCCAAGAAACTTCTTCAACTCTGTTTCTTTGAAAATGTTTCACTTCTCATCCAAAAGCACCTTTGGGATAACCATGACCCAGATGACTGAGAATCTTCATACACATTTATCTATCTATTCAACAGAGCTGAAGAAGCTTCTTGGATGAGAAGTGAAATGATTTCAAAAAGAAAGCAGAAAGTTCAGTTGCCTCTTGAAAAAGCACCTTTGGGACAATAAGCCTCTGAAAGTTTTCAGAACTGACTTCCCTTGCTGTTGAATGGAAAGGCTCTTCAAACATTCCTGAATTAGCAGAAGCCTCTACTACAGGGGAGTCAAACTCAATTTTATTGAGGTCTGCCTTAGGGTTGTGTTTCACCTTGGGGAACCATGGTTAGCTTGACATCACTCATGTCAGAGGCACCTGTGGGGGTCCGAGTGCTCTGCCAGTAAAAATGTTTTCGGCTGCGGCGACCTCCTACAACCCTCTGACAATGAAACCATTTTCACTGGCAGAGGCACGATGGGCCAGTCCTTTGCTGTTTCCAGGGTGGCCCTGCAGGTCAGATCTAAGCACTCCATGTGCTGGATCTGGCCCCAGGGCCTTGAGTTTGACACCCCTGCTCTACAATGCAGTATTGTAATGGTGTGGGCAATGACTTTGGGAGATAGAAGAAACAGCCACAAACTAGGCAACAGTCAGGTGTGGCAGCTAAGTCAACAAAAGGAATGGGGGCAAGATAAACTTCTTAGAACAGTGGTTGCCAACCAATGGGTGGGGGACCACTGGTGGTCCGTGAGAAAATTTTGGTGGTCTGAAGAGAAATGTCACCCCCAAAACACTCCCCAAAGCAATTAATCCAGGCTGCATGGGAACACAAGGATGCGCCATCCACAGGGCCTGTGGGAACAAAGGCTTGCGTCACTTGCATTGCAAACAACATAAGGTAGTGAGGAGAGGGGAAGAAGGGCAGAGAGGGGGAACTTGCCCTACTCACCTCACGCACCTTGCCTGGCCACCGAGCTGCTTCTTTCCATGTCTTTCTTCTTCTGCTTTTGGCTGCACGTAAGGAAAGGAGCAAAAGTCTTCCTTTCTCTCCCCCAAACTCTGCCAGAAATGGTCTCTGGGACCCTGCAAGGCATCCTGCTACAAGAGGCTGTGCCAGCACAAGTCTCACAAAGACTCATTTTTGGCAGAGTTTGGGGGAGAGAAAGAAAGACTTCTGCTGCTTCTGCTGCTTTCCTTGCATGAAACCAAAAGTCTCTCTCTCTCTCTCTCTCTCTCTCTCTCTCTCTCTCTCTCTCTCTCTCAATTGGTAGGAAAATGGGGTGGGGAATTTTCCTGCAGACTTTTCTTGCAATTTTTCCAGGGTCTCTGGTCTGCAGGATTTAAAATTATGAGTTTGGTGATCCCTGGGATCCAAAAGACAGGGGGGAGATGAAGTTTTTTGAAGTTTGGCTCCAGACTCATGATTTAATTAGGGTGATTGATGGAATCCTGACACTAAGCTTTGATAAGCCTAACCCAGTTCTGTGATGAACAAAATGTCTTCCATAAGAAAATAATATCTTCATTTTAGCCTTCCCTGGCCTTTTACTCACCTGAATGAGATCTTGTGGAGGAGATGGGTTCTCAACCTTCTGTCTTCCTCTGTCCTTCTGCCCCAAGAAGCCCATTATATAGATCATTATATAAAATTATATAAAAAGCTGCGAGATGCAACTAGGGAGAAGGGAGCAGGAAAGAACTGCAAGTGGCCCCCATCCTCCCTCCAAAAAAGAGGAAGTGAGCATGGACAGAGGTTAATTTTAAAAGAGAAAAAAAGTTCACATGTGCAATGACATTCTGGAAGAGGGCATGTTTCTGCATGAACATATTTCACAGCTGGATTTGAGCAATGATGTTCCCTTATTACTGCCAAAACCACAATTGAAAGAGATATCAATGCCTGAGGAGAGACAGAATGCCTCTGAGTAAGGACAATATGGAAGTCCTTCAGGAAACAAGAACTAGTGCTCATTTATATACATCTGAAGAGCTCTTTAGCCAAGAGCAAGATGTGATTTTTAGCATGGTTCTTGAAAACATGGTTCTTTGTTTAAAAAAAAAAACAAGTACAGCTAATCTGCACAGGTATATTTGTGTGTAGTGAATCACACTTCTAAGTTCATTTCTGTTTGTGTGGGGAAAAGGCCTGTCGACTCTGATGGAGATGCAATTGTGACAATGTGGTAACTCTTGAGGCCTGGCTGAGATTTCATAATCACTCCTCCATGGAAAAGATTCATGGGGAGGAAGACTCTTTTGATATTATAATGATATACTCACATTTTTTTATTTATATTTTTTGCTTTGCCATTACATACTAGAATTCTTTGCATTACCTTGCATCTATGGAATGAGTCTCAAAAAAACCCAAGGCAGTGTCCCTACTGTGCAAATTAAGACTTGCATAACATACAACAGATTGGACAATCATTTGTCTAGAATGGTATAGAGGCTCCTGCTTGAGCAAGGGATTGGACTAGAAGACCTCCAAGATCCCTTGAAACTCAGATGATAGACTTTTAATCACATGTTTGAAGCCATGAACATGACTTTTTTGACAACCATACAGATGCCCCTGTTTGTTTCAGAAATCTGTAAAATTGAAAGAAACCACCCACTCTATCTGGGGCTACCTCATCTTTCATTAAATGAAACCAACAATGCCACATCTGCTGATCATGATGAAATAGATACAGTGAAAACAGAACTGGATCTAGGGAGTTCCGGTTTGTAAGGCTTCGGCGGTGGCAGGAATCCGCGATCATGCGCGGTTCCTGCTGTGCTCGCCGCTGGAGTGCCTCCGATCCAGTTGGATTTGGAGGCTATAGTTACCCCATAGAGGTAACTGAAGATAGGGGAGATCCGGACAGAAGTCCAGGGGTATCGCAACCCCCCTCCTCAGCTGGCTTAACTCCCTTTTCCAAAGGTGGTGGAGCGGCGGTCAGCAATGGCCGCCACAAAGAAGCTTTCAGCCGGACAAGAATGTGCAGGAGGAAGTTGAGAAAGTGAAAGTTTTTGGCTGAACTGGGACAACAAGTAGCATCTAAATACCCTGTAAATTCAACTTTTTAAACGATACATTGTTTCCTAAGAAGATCGTAAAAAGCGGCGGTTGAAAGTGAAAAGGGAAAGTTTGTTTTTTCTCACTCTCCTTCCCTATGGAGATAGCAGATGAAAATCAGAAAAACCCGCTTTGGCAACAGAAGGTAATTAAATTTGAAAATTAAAGCCAAGGGGACATTAAAGATTTCTGAACATTGGAATTAAAAAATTAAAATCTTTTTGCTATAAGTGGGAAGGGAGAGGTAAAGAACTTATATTAAGATTTTGCTGGAGGAGATTGCTTGGAGTTTATAAGATCAGAGACAAACTGCAATAAGACTTCTAAAAAATCATTTTGGAACTGTGTAATTGAATTCTACCCCAGGAAGAGAAAGTATAAAAAGAAGAAAGTGCTAAATGAAACAGTTTGTGTTGATCTGGATTGCTTGGTGACTTTGGGACTTTTGGAAACTATTTTTTGAAAGATTAAAAACATTTGGGTTGTTTAAAAAAAATCTTATAATGGCATTATTTGTTGAAGAATTGAAAATGGAATTCAAAAAGCTAAAAGAAGAGGAACAAGAAGGCAAGGGCTCTTCTGGATCTGTTTTTCACTTCTTAGAAATGGCGATTTCTACCTACCAGGAATTACAGCAACAAGAAGGCTGGGATGAAGAAGAAGAAGCCATCTTTAATGGACAAACAATTTTAGTTGATGAAGAAAGGGGAAAGAGGGGAAAGAAAATGGAGAATTCAAGATTTTAAAAAACAACCAAGAAAGGGAAAAATAAGGTGAAAAATTGATACAATGTCAGAAAGCAACAGAAAAGAGGAATACAACAGAGAGGGGAGACTAAGAGGGTGGAGATTGAGAGATGGAGGGGTAAAAAGGCTAGATTCGACAAGAAAGGAAGGGAAAAGGGGAAGAGAAATTATAAAGGCTTAAAACAAGGTGTTAAAAAACAGGGTTTTTTTTAGAGACAAAGGGTAAAATACAATTAAAAAAGAGACTCTGCAAAAGTACATAAGATTGTATTGTAGTATTTGAATTTGAATTAGAGCT